CTTATCTGATTCAGTTGTCTCCGCCATCAACATTCACGGTTTTAATTCTAACTTAACTTCTGTGGACCTCACACTAAAGAAATGTGTGTAAGTGCACCAGATTGCCTATTGTTCCTGTTACATTATGATTTTCTTATTTTGTCTGTTCAGATTTGTAATTTTTTGTTTGAGAAACAAAATAAAAATGAAAGAAATCATGTTTGCCTGTCCCATTAGGTCCAGCAGGAGAGGCCTGCCATGAATCCTATCTGCTAAGGAGCTCCATCTGATGGGAAACAGGAGACAAGGCTTGTCTGCTTTGGCACCCACCCTCTGGAACATCTCCGCCTTGTCCCCCCAGATGAGAGTGGTCCTATCTCTGCTGACTTTCCATAACTCCCTTAAAATCTGGTTGTTTCATCAGACCTGGGGGTCCCAAGGAGATAGAAATCTAACGAGGTAGCCCCATTGTTCATAATCTGATGCTCTCTCTTAGCCTTTTCATAATATTAAGTTTTGTACTTTTTGACGTGGTGCCTCAGTGGCTAAGACGCTGAGCTGGTTGATCTGAAAGGTCAGCAGTTCGGCGGTTCGAATCCCTAGCGCCGCGTAATGGAGTGAGCTCCCGTTACTTGTCCCAGCTTACTTGTCTCTGCCAAACTAGCAGTTCGAAAGCATGTAAAAAATGCAAGTAGAAGAATAGGAACCACCTTTGGTGGGAAGATAACAGCGTTCTGTGCGCCTTCGGCGTTTAGTCATGCCGGCCACATGACTACGGAGACGTCTTTGGATAACGCTGGCTTTTAGGTTTTGAAATGGAAATGAGCACTGCCCCCTAGAGTCAGGAACAACTAGCACATATGTGCGAGGGGAACCTTTACCTTTACCTTTACTTTTTGTATGCTTTTTCAAATTGTTTTTAATGACCTGTTGGCTTTTACCCAGAATCACATCATGTGAGATGGAGAAGCTATATCATAATCATTTAACAACCCCATAACCTCTTGCGGGGGGAGTCTGGGCAATTGAATGGCGCTAGCCAATTGTTTTTAATGGCCGGATGCCCTTTTTGTCACCATGGATGAGCTATATACAGTAGCTTATAACAATATGATTCAATCCTTACCTTCCTCATTGAGTATTTGCGGAAATCCTTGCTGAAATCAGTGAGACAAGTTAGTTATTTCTGTTTTTAAAAAACCCATTGATTTCCAGTCCTTAAATATGACTGGATTTACGACACTAAATGAACATTAACAAACCATCCCCTGTAAGTGATTAAAGCACCTGGCGAGTAACAGGAAGCCTGTGAATGCTAATCCCACTTTAGACACAAAACCAGCTTCATGACTTTGGGCCAGCCACTCTCTTTCAGCCCAGTGAAGCAGGCAATAGCAAACCGCTTCTGAAAAACCGTTCCCAAAAAACCTGCAAGGAATTGACCAGGTAGAATCTAGGAATTGACACAGACTTGAGGGCATCCTCCCTCTAAAGAACATCAAAGAAATATTCTGAGAAGTATCTTATGAAGAAATGCTTAACCTCGACCACATCATTCCATTCCAATCTTTTTAAAAGGATTAAAAACATGACTACAGAATTGGAAATATCTTTTAAAACTATGTTCAAATATAGATTGTCAAAATAGTACTGTACAGGTATTGCAATCCACTTGTGTTTGCTGCCATCTGGTGGTCAGTTTTCATTAAGCCTCCTTGTTTAAAATTCTATGAACGATGCTCAGACTTGTAAAATATAAAGGAACTGGTCGTTTGCTACAGTCAACATTAGTGATTTTCCTATTGTATTGACTTATTTTGTACACTGACATTCTGTTTAACTTCCATAATCACTTTAAAATAAGCCAGCTATGAAAAAGGAGAAGGAAAAAACCAAGAACCCGGGTCTACCCCTCTGAAGAACTGAAGTTCAAGGAATTGCGAGGACTTATATTCAAAGAGTAAGTACATAGTGTATGGGTTTCAAACTTGTGGTGTCATGTTGCTGTCACATGATGTATTGTGACATCTTTTCCCTTTGCAGAGCTGGAGGGGGCATGTCAGTTTGACACCCCTGACATAGTTTATTCCCTCTTTAAGTGATAAATACAGTATTCTAAAACTGCCTATTAAAATATATGTTTGGTATTTAGAAGCTATGATCCTGCCCTCCTCAGAGTCATAAAGCAGTTTGACACTGTTGTGTGAGAAACCAGATAATGTAAGGATGTACAGCTAGTTTATACATGCTGGTTTTGTGTTGCACTTTTTGTAAGCTAATGTATCCATCAAGACGTATGAGTCCAGCTCCAAATCCTGGTTTGATTTGCAATGTGATATAGGTAACGTGAAGCCAATAAAAATGTTCATGGCCTATGGAGCTAGTAATGGCCACCATGAGTGGGGCCTAGTGTTTATGTGCAATTTGAAAAAGTCTTATCAACGCTTGCTAAATAAATAAATAAAAAATGCTGCTCATTTGAATAACTGCAGCAGGATGGTCAGAATAACCAGAAATAAAAATTCTTTAGCATCTTGGCATCTGGTAGCTAATTTCTTTCCCACATACTCTGCTGGTCAGCTAGTCTGATTTTTCATGAGGACTGTGTGCTATGATCAAAGTGATTCAAATTTTCATGGATTGTCCTTAGCTAACAGCCAAGCCACCTGGGTCCTTGTTAAGATCCGTAAACTTGTCCTGAAAAAGAGTGAAGCAACTAAGGGAGATGTCAATCCAAAACCTCTCTATACACTTAACCGAACCCTCTCTCCATATCCCCAAGGACTGGGACATGTCAATATAGCCTTAATCTATACTGGAAAGGAGCCAGGAATGAGCCAGCATTCCTCCCCCTCCCCAGTCTGCCTTTTTAAAAATGTGAGTAAATTGTGAGGCTTATTATTAGAATACTATTATTAAAAGTTGTCTGGTGGTTCAGGACCAGGTCATAGCTAAGGACTATGAAGTGTATCTAACTCTTTATTATGCTTGGAATCTGAGTTGTCTCTTTTTGGCTTGTATGGGCCTCTGCCTCCATCTTCTGCCACAAGCCACCCAGAATTGGATACAAGATGGATGGCAAATAAATTTCATAAACAAATATTCAAAAACATTTTTGGGTAGATCTGTTGCCTTCTTGACTTTATAGGATAGATATGCATCATCTTGGGAAAAATAGAATTGAATGAGACTATGAACATCTGTTCAGGTTTGAGGTCTATGTATTGAGACTGAAAAAGTGTTTTGGCAGTGGTTTGCTCTCCAAGCTTGTTTCAATTTAGTTTCTGAATGTTCCATTACGTAACATCCTCAGCAGGATTTTCTTGTCCTACTGATGAGGTTAACTAGTCTGGTTAAGCAAATGTTCAGAAACTAAATTGAAACAAGCTTAGGGAGAAAACCACTGCCAAAATATAAAACCCGAGCTAAAAGTATTTTCTATTATTTCACAGAAAAAGTGTCCTTGTCGCTGATCTTCAGAATGTTTGAAGCATCATCCCTTGCCACTTATGATGGGAATCAGAAACAAGAATCTTTTACTCCAGCTAACTGACTAATACTTTTTTTTGCTGCCTAAGATAGTCTTCTCCTTGATGAGTTTTAACATCATGCTTTCTGGCAGAGAGATATACCTCAGCTCAGAACTGAATAGCCTCCTGTGAATTGGTACATTACGTCTGTTACACGTTGTAATGGATGTTCCTTTTTACATAAATTCATGATTACGCTTAAGATCTCTATGACAGAATGTACAGAGTCAGAACTGTTTACCATGTTACCAGAAACAGGACAATTACTGGCAAAAGGTTTATTTTTAAGATTTAAAGATTAACTGTAGTAGAGATGGGTCATAAAATAATCTTTAAATATTGAGATAGGAAGAAGAGAACTGTAGATTTGCTTGTATGCGTTAGCTGAATTCCACTTAGTTTCTGGTTGAAAAGTCAACTCAATGTTCTTTTATCTTTTTTATACTAAGAATTAAAAAAAAAGACATTGCTTATAATATTTTGCCCAATAAATCCTGGGAATGAATGCTACGCTCTAATCTTTTGTGTTGTATATAACTTTTTTTTTGCATATATGAGCCTTGCAGACATAATACCTATAAACAGTGAAAGGCCATTCAATCTTTTTGTCAATCTATCTACCTAACATAATGATATTGTCAGAAAAATAATCATAAATAATAATAGCAACAATACGGAAGTGAAGAATCAAATTGGGATACCCCTTTCTCTCAATGATTGCAGTTTTAAATTAAATATCAGTAGTTGTCATCTGTCCTTGCTGCTGATCATCACACAAGTTTTCTTTGGCCTAGGGTCATTTAAAGTGGATTGTGTATTTCAATTCTATTATTCAAAGTACCTGAAGGCAGGACAAGATGGAAACTAATCAAGGAGAGAAGCAACCTAGAACTAAGGAGAAATTCCCTGACAGTGAGAACAATTAATCAGTGGAACAGCTTGCCTCCAGAAGTTGTGAATGCTCCAACACAGGAAGTTTTAAAGAAGAGATTGGGCAACCATTTATCTGGAAACGTATAGGTTTCCTGTCTGAACAAAGGGTTGGACTAGAAGACCTCCAAGATCCCTTCCAGCCGTTATTCTGTTCCTTTTCAGGCTACATAATTTGTAGAAGTGAGTGGTAAAGACCAACATATCTTTGATATTGGAATCTGAATGGTGACTCAGGAACCAAATATACACTTTGAGAAACTTTTCCTGATTTAATCTCTTTAGCAATGACCACATAAATCCCGCAGAGAGCCATTTTTCATACATGGCAGATGTTTCTTGGTGGATAAGGACCACTTGCTTAGTCATTTGGATATTAATGGGGTCAAAATAAAAGTATTTGCATTTTGAAAAGAAGGACATTGGGTTGATGAACTAGAGATACTGCTAGTTTTTTGCATTGCCATTTATATGGGGTATGAACTACACAAAACATATTTTAATTTTGATGATGACATAGATGTAGCCTAAGGGAATAAAAAGGGCAGCAAGGACATTACATCTGAATAAATAAGCATCAAATTTATTGAATCATGAATAATTTAAGACCGGTACAATCATTAGCTTTATGCTCCATGACACAGGGGGAGGAGGGAAGGGGGAGGAAAAGGGAACCAAAGGATGGCATGATCCAAAACAGGCCAGTTGCAAATCCCAATCCTAAATGAAAATGTAAAATTAAATAGAGAGGTGCGGGAAAGGGATCATACTGTACACAAAATACCCAATTCCTAGTTTTTTCTCTTTTAAAAATGGCTAGAAAAAATTCATCAAAATGCAGCACTTGTAATCAATTATTTACATTTCTATGTTACAATGAAAAAAAATGTACATCTTAGAGAACTTTTTTTCATAAATGGTTCCACTGGAAACAACTAGATCAAAACAGCAACCTTGCGTTTAATAGCCACATTTTTTTTCCGTTCATTTTCCTTAAAAGAGAATTGCCACATTTAGACAAATTTCAAGACACAATATATTAAAAAAAGTATTAACAGTACAGTATTTTAGGTTGGATTAATTTTTTTTGAAAAATATACCAAAAAGAGGAGGCTAGCCAAACCCTCCCTGTCTCTGCATCAATTTAAAATCAAAATGGCATCTAACATGTGACATATGAGTTGCACAATCCTAGACAGTTCTGGAGCAAAGAGAAAAGAAAGTTCCAATTTCTAACTCATTGGGAATGTTGCATAGTCTTGTACTAAAACAGGAAATCCTGCCAGCTTTGTGCACTGGGACACAGGGGTGGGGTAGTGACAATGCAAAGCTGGAAGCAATCTGGATGAAATATATGTTGTCATTTTAAAAGGAAAAGGTAGACATTCACCTCAACTGAACTAGTTTAAAAAAATGTCCGTAACAGGCAACCCTGCTTCCCGAAGTTTTAGAAGTTACAATTTGTGATAACTTGACAAAATAAAGCAAGATTCCATGTGAATCATTTCTCGGTAATCTCAGCAATTTCTATTAGAGAGCAAGAAATGTTCCAATTCTTCTTTATTTATGGCAACAGGACAGCTGGCAACACTTCAGAAAGACTCAATTAAAGGTGTCAATAAACAAGGCTCTGAGTCATCTCAGCTGCCAACCTGAGTCATAACTTAGATGGCATTTTTGTCAGCCTTACAATTCCAGCAAACATTTCTTGTGCCAATCGAGGTAGCCATATATAGGCAAATCTTTAACTCAAGGCCATTTCTCCTATCATTTCATTCCCATGTTTTTTTTTTAAAGAGCAAAGCATTCATGCACAAGGAACCCTGATTAATATGCAACCATTTCTTATAAAAGACATTTTGTATATGTTCAGTAAATTTACAGGGAGTCACGTAGTCAAAGAATAAACATCCACACATTGCATTTCTATGGCAACCGCTTGCAGCGGGAACTAGGAAAAAATATGTAAGAACAAATTCTAAATATTTTTTTCCATAGATTACAATATAGTCAGATTTATGATTCACTCTCCTGGCAATCATACCAATGATGTGACTGGATTGTTTGCTTATTCCACAGGCCAGTTGCCATTTTGGATCAGATTATTGGACTTCCTGAGTGTTTCCATATACAAAATTGCCAAATAGGCATATTGGTGCCCTCCAGATGCATCACAGCTCCCATGGTGTGATGATTGGACATGCAGGCAGTCTTTCATTGACTTGTAATTGAAAACACCTGAGAGGCTTCACTTAACCTTAGATGTAGAGACAAGGAACCTGTTATATTAACTCTCCCAGATTTGTCTGGAAAAAAATAGAGATAAATCCCTTTTCCTAGCAGGAAATTGACACCCTGAGGAGATGCTCCACAGAACTTATATATGCAATGTGTGACAGCTGCTTACAGAAAGCATAGCAGCTGGAAAGCTGATGGCCACCTCGATCTTGTTATGTCCCTTGGCAAATCAAATAAGGAAATGCCTTACTCTTCTGCTATCCCTTAGGGCAGGAGTCTCCAACCTTCGGCAACTTTTAAGACTTGTGGACTTCAATTCCCATTGCTGGCTGGGGAATTCTGGGAGTTGAAGTCCACAAGTCTTAAAAGTTGCCAAGGTTGGAGACTTCTTAGGCAATGGACACAAGTCATCTGCCTCCAGTGGCATCAATCATTTCCATAGATGGCAATTTCTTATCTAATGAGTAGTGGAGGAAAATGAAGCTCAGATTATAAACCATTTTAGAATATATATGTCTCTTGTGCTTGAATGCTCATTCTGGACTAAGCCAACTCTACAAATTAGAGGCTAAGAAGACAATGCTTTCCATATGAACAAAAATCATATTCCTGCAATCCTGAAATATTTAATCAAGCATTTGGAACTTTGCATTTCATAGTTTTGCTTTAAAAAGCAGAAGGGAAGCAGGGTGCTGAAGAGCTGGATGGACCTAATATAATGATTGGATCACTTTAGGATTATGATTTACTCTGGTCCATTTCCAGGCATTAGATTAGAATTTGCATTATACTTTGTTTCTATTTTGTTAAGGAAAAAAATACACTCAAGAATTCTCCCTTGATTCAACAGTTAATGCCCACTGTTATTTCGCTATACTAAGAAAAAACATATATAATATAGCAAGGTCACAACAAACCCAAAGGACAATGGGTTGAGTTCATTAAGAGCAGAAAATCATGAGGTATAAGAAAAGCTACCCGCTCAGTAAATTTGTCATGGTAGCAAAACTGTATGTCTGTTGCATCGTATTAATCTTATAAATCCTATAAACTGTAGCAAATATACTACCTGCATATTTTAAAAACAAAGCAAAAAATAATTATCTTTTAGTTGTGATGCCATTCAGTGCCACAAAAAAAAAAAAAAGGTTTGCTTTTGCCTGGATTGAATAAGCAACATCCAATGAAATGTTGCTTAAAAGTTGATGTACAGATCTTTAAAAAGCTGTTTCCCTCTTTTTACATCTCTTCCTTGATTTTTGATACTTTTAGGAACCAGGGGTATCAAATATCTCATTTCAAACAATACCCACAGCAACGCACATCATTGTACTCCAAGAGATGACTTCTATAGCCCTGTTTTGTCTAATTATTTAAAAATCACAAACTACAACACTAATGGAATTAAAATACAACTGTAGAAACTCGGTAAGGCATCACTTTTAAAAAAATCAGCACCCAAAGGTAGCTGAAAAGGCTTGCATGTGTGTGTGTGTGTGTATGTGCGTGTGTTGTTGTTGAGAACCTCGGTTCTAGTTTGAGGTATAGCCTGAGACAGCTGATAATATCAGCTATTGTGTTGTTTTTTAAATGACACCAGTTGGTGTCCAAAATTTTTGTGAACCTTCTCTCTGTCTGGCAAAAGCATCAAACAGGTTTTTTAACCTCACTCCCCAGTTTTCTTCTGAGATGAAGAAAATAAGGAGGGCTCAGAGTCATGTTCTCTGCTTGGTTCTTGGTTTAAAACCAAAATCCAAAAAAACCCCTATGGAAATAACTTTCCCTTACTTAAGACTTCGTTAAGTAAAATTGAGTATTTTTCTTTTCTTTTCTAAAAAAGTGGCTCTTTATTATTGTGAGAGATTCACCAATGTTCAGTACCAAGTTTTGCAACAGATGGTTGAAGTTAATTATTTATCCATAAATTCACATGTGACGACCCTGACACAAAGATATTTATCTATATCTTCACACAAGTTGATTCTGAAGAAATACTAATGTCTTGCCCTACCCTAAGGAACTGGCAAAAGAGTCCTCCTTTTCAGGGAGCTTTGAAATTTGAACCTAAGGCACCGTTTTCAGCCTTGCTGAGTGCTCAAATTAGAGGAACCATTTCCCTACTCTTTCTCCCCTGCTGGCAGCTCCCCCACCACCATTTTATAAAAGCTGTTTGACTGAAACCAATACAAGGAAATAAATCCAAACTGGTTCCTGAACTGCAGGTAAACTGACAGCCAATTTGAGGTGGTTAACTTGGGGTCCTGGGAACATGGAGGGCTTAGGATACAATGGATCTGCAGCCCCTCTTGGTGTGTTATTCTGCTCCACCTCCAGCACCGTGCATGTTATTCTTTCTAATAACAGATTCCTACACAGGCCTTAGATAAGTTGTGAGGCAAGGAGATTTGAGTTTCTCTTTTTCCTCCCGGAAGAGGGAAAAGCAAAGATTGCCTTGATTCTGGGTGACCCCCTCGAAAAATATAATGTTGTGGTTTTAGAAAAGCATAATACCAAATTTAAGAGGCACCACACTTTCCATTCAAGTATATATGCTGTATATGCTTCCTAGCTGCTTTCTCCAAGTTATCGCTTCTCCCTGGATCCATGCTAATGCCTCTGCATTCAGTGTTATTGCTGACAAAAGGACCTCCAGAGATAATTTCTGATATAAAAACATTAGGGAGGGAGGTCAAGGACGACTACGCATGCTAGGTGGGTAGCCATTAGGTGTGATCCTCATGTACCCCTTGTGCAGAAAGGAAGTGAAAACAGATACCATTTCCAATCATTAGAACAGCTGAATACCATTAACCCGGAGACTTTACACTAGTCAATAAAATGGAAGCTTCCCCATATCTCACAGCAAGCTATTTATAGCAGGCGTCCCCAACACCCGGTCTGTGGACCAGCATCAGGTTGCGGCATGGCAGAAACCGGGCCATGCAAACAGGCAAAGTCCTATCCCTGGGATGCAGGCAGCAATGAAATCACACCCCCTCCAATCCACAGAACTGGTCCCTGGTGCTGAAAAGATTGAGGGGTCGCCATTTTAGAGGAATAGAACTTCAGGAACAGATTGCAATGGAACATGAGGTTATTGGGATAAAAAAAGCAAGAAAACGTACAATACAGTAGAAGAACGGAATTATCTTTTCAATCCAGACAACTGTCTTTTCCAAGTTATGTTGAACATTTGGTATAGGTATGAAATGACCCCAAAACCCGAACAAATGATTTGAGGAAATGACTCCCATATGTTATGTATTTGAGGCTGGTATCCTCTGAATTGTTGTGAATCCAAAGACAAACAGACTTTTTTTTTTTTTTACTTTTTACAAAGCACATCTTCTAGTTGCAGAGAAATGTTGCTATCCAGGTTTAAGAAGAAACTTCTCACTTCAACAGTGAGAATTCTGAAGCAAATATGAAAATAAATTCTAGCAGCTTGTTTTGGTTTTTTTCTTGTATGTGTTGTTCCCATACTTTGGATCATGGATAAAACAGTCCATGATTGTTGCTTTAATTAACACTGGCAACTTCAGAGTTGGTTGTACTGCTTGTACATGAAGATGTACAAGCTTGTCGACCCTGAAGATGACATACTGTATGTGTGCTCAAGGGACTGAGCCCAATGCTTGGAACGATATAAACAAATGAAATAACCAAAACAAGGGACCGTGGTCTCAAATTAGACAAGTTTTGCGTGATATATGTGTGAATATTTTGAACTTCCCTATTTCTAATCTCTTTGCCTTTTACGGAATGTCATTATTACCAAGGCGAGCATTTATTACAGCACCAGAATTATTGAGGTTAGGCTGGAAAAAAAATGACTTGAAAAAATCAGCCATTGATGAGTTTGTACAGAAGCAGCATAACTGAGATCCATTCCCTTTTTGGACCTAAGGTGGCACAATGCTCCTTAGGTTCATAATTTTCATGGTGAATGTTTTTTTTCCTCTTCATTTATTGCCTCCAACTCACTCTCCCCAGAGGTTGTTGTGATTAATCTTATGTGAATTAAACACAATTCTCTTGCACTTCAGATTTTCCTCTGCTCATCTCCCCTGCACCCTTGTAACGAAATTTACTCCAGATGTCCCTCTAAATATTTGAGCAGGTTTAGGAAATCAGAGATCATGGTAATCCACTTCACAAGCAGATGTTGTTTGGTCAATGGACAGACACAACTAGATAAGCACCGTTGTTTTTATGAAAATAACGTGTTCAGTGTCGTAGGCATGTGAACTCACAGCAATGTAAACTACAAAACAAAACAAAAACAAAATAGTGCAGTTCTTATTAAGGGAAACGAAACACAAGATATAAAACATCAGCTGGGTTGCCTGCACCCATCTTTGACACTGAATGGGGGAGGCAGAGAGGGTGGAAGAGATTGTATTGTTCTTGCAGCTCTAATACTGAGATGTCCTTCTGAACCAAGGTCAGTTCTCTCCATGGCTTGATGATTCATTTTTTCTAAGGGAGGCAAAGGATGGACCACTGGAAGCAATCATGTCTAGTTCTATTCATAATGTTGACTCCAGGGACGAGTCAAGGATATCATCGTGATGGCTATTGCTGTTGGAGTCACTGTCATAACTCTGTGGACTTGAATAATTAGCTGCCTCCTGCAACCTCATCAGCATGTTCATCTGGTGAAATACAGAAAGGACAAAAAACATTACTTGACCATCATGGCCACGTTGTCTCTCTGGGGCAACTGAAGCAGACATGGATTTCATGAACTGTCTCTGCAATCAGCAATTTGGCCTGGTCTCAGAACATCCCAGGTCTATCAAAAGCCTTCAACTGTTGGCTCTGCTCGTATCAGCGTGAGTCTTTAAATTGGCATTCCTCACTTTGGCAGGACCTCCACAGCACAAGAAAGTACCACACATTGCAGATTAAAACATAATGTGTGTGCACTCATGGAGAAAATTTCCGTAATACTGTTATAGAAGATTATGGAGTCTGGTTTTATGATTTAGTGGGATCGTCTACATTTCAGCAAAATCCAATGACTAATTTTGTTGCCATCATAGACTGAGTTGCTCTACCCACAAGACAAACAAAATAGACTTAACAACTAATTATTTCCTAGGATAGGATTGGTTACATTGTTTTGCATTGTAATAGTGAGGATAACTATATGGAAAAAATGAACACACATTGGATATCCTGGCCAACAGCGGTTGAATAAACAATGAAAATCCAGTATTATGTCCGTTTCACACTGGTTTAATGCCATTGTGATTTTTCCACTTGCAACACAATTTCATTGATAAAGAAAAAACAGCTTGTTGCTCATTTGTAGGGCTTCAAACAGTGTAGCAGTTCCATGCGAAACCACAGAAAATGTCAGCAATTTCTACAATGGCGCTCGGTTGTAACATAAAACAGCACCACATACATATATGGACAGCCTTATTATAGAGATAATAAAGCCGTGTTTTGTAACAAATATTCTTTCCTACAAACTTTCAATGGCAGCTGCATTATGCAATCTCTTTATCCTTAGTTCCAGTCAACACATTTAATGTAACAAACACATGTAATTGTACAATCCTAGAGCCCAAATCAGCATTTTCAAAGGATTCAGTTATTATAAATTTGAGTTATTAAAAATATTTGTACTAAAACTTGCTTAAGAATAAAGAAAGGGAATCCTTGACTCACAACAGCTCACTTCATGACTGCTCAAAGTTACAGCAGCCCTGAAAAAAAGTGACTTATGACCTTTTTTCACATTTACAACCATGTTGCAACATTCCCATGGTCACATGATCAAAATTCTGATGCTTAGCAAGGGATTCATATTTATTGCGGTTGCAGTGTTCCGGATTTTGCAAACTTATGATAAGCAAAGTCAATAGGGAAGCCAGATTCTCTTAACAACTGTGTTACTAACTTGACAATTGTGCCAAGAAAGGTGGTAAAATGGAGCAAAATTCACTTAACCAATGTTTCACTTTGCAACAGAAACGTTGGGCTCAATTGTGGTTGTAAGTCGAGAACTACCTGTATAAAGCACAGTACACAGAGCCCCATGGTAAGTTCATTTCTATCTATCATAATATTAAATTCCTAGTATAAGTTACAAAACACCGCTATGCCTATTCCAAGTGTACCTTTAGAATATTCTATAAATTAATTTGGAGAAATAGCCTTGAAACTTCCCACTGGTTAGTCATTCACCATCTAACGTCCCATATATGAACGATATTGTGCTGAGAATCTCACCAGAGGATCTCCTTCAGCATCACTTGGTGGAACCTGTTTGCTGGTTGAACCTTCCCGTGGCATAGAATAACCATCAAATCCAACATCTTCTGGACGCAGTTGCAGCAAAGGAGGCCACTCGTGATGTTGCGGGGTAGCTGCCCAGGGATAAGTGTCCATCACCCACTTGGCAGGGTCCTCCCATGGTGCTCTTCTTCCGTACAACTGCAAGAAATAGTACAAAGCCATTCTCAATTAAAGGATTTGATATTAAGCTTATTTTTAGTCACATACGTATAGCAATGTTCTCGTGTTTTTTTGCGAGTTCAACTTCAGCATGTGCGGAATCTTCCAATCTTGTGTTTATGACAATGGAAGTTTCAACAAACTTCTTAATAAAAGAAAATAAAAGATGGGAAAGCAGTGTCTCCTTGTTTTTCAACCAGAAGGTCTACCGTGCACAGAAAGCAGCTTGACAATGTGGAGAGAAAACAAACAAAGCAGAGATTGATGTTATTGGGTTTTTAAAAATATAAACTATGGACTTAAAAAAATTGAACAGAAGTATCTATACTTTTGAATCTCTCTCTTCATTTAAAAGAAAAATGCAGGAAGCAGTGCTGTATACATACTTTATAGCTCAACTCCTGAATGAAAGCTGGAATATAAATCTGATGAATGAATGAATATCAGACAGATTAACAGATTAACAGAGTTGGAAGGAACTTTGTAGTAGGTCATCTAATCAAACTCTGTTAATCTGTTAATCTGTCTGTTATTCATTGTAATCTCTCCCACATACTGTACACCCCAAAGCTGGAGAAAAATACACTCATTTGGGACAGGAGAACAAATTGGCATTTTAGATCTAAACCAGAGATGATTAAAAAAACACACCTCACAATCCAGAAAAAAAAATTATGCTCAAAGGTACAAACACATGTGACCAATGATGCCTATGACATGAGTTATATTCAATGTTTTGGGAGGAAGATTCTCTTCTACCCATATTCTCAGCAAAATGTACATTCTACTCTGACAGCACAACAAAGGTTTTGTGAGCAAATCTGCCCACTAGGTGTCACCATATCTTCCAAAAGCAAATCATAAATCAGGGAAGCCACATAACTTTTGAAAAATGCTTCTTGGGTGTTCAGCAATTGCTTCAGGAGAGTGGGTGGAAGAGAATGTAAAGACTACCTCTCCCAACTTGATGTCTTCTAGATGTGTTGAACTTCAGGTCCCATTATCGTCCAAAAACAAGACCAGAGATCAGATTTGCTGATTGGGTTATTTTGCAACACATCTGGAGAACAACAGCTAACAGCTGAATTAAGGTAGATAACTCTAAAAAGTTGTCTACCTTAACTCTTCCTCTTTTATTCCCTTTCCTCTGTAATGTCCATTTTGCATTATAAGCCAGTTTTAATATCGTTCTTTCTAAATTGTTCTGGAAAAATTTGCGGCACAAGAGCTATGGTAAATATTTTAAATAAATAAAGGTTCTTTATTCCAAAGGCAAAGGTGAACTTGGTAAGTCAAGACATACAACATTCAAATCCAATTTTTATGGCTTTCACAGGACTGTGCAAAGCTTCAAAGGGGCCATTTCCCTCAGGCAAGGCACCTGGAAAGCTTGCCTTTGAAGCCGTTTCCTGCATGAAGCAGCGCAGCCCATCCACCCACCCAATTGCTACAGCAAAGCAAAACGGTCTTGTGGCTTGGCTTCCCCTCATTTCATAGGCCTCCTTCAGCGCTTCCAATAACTGGAACCTTCTATTCATGCACAGGAAGCTTGGAGAGGATACAAAGTGTCCTGGCATGGCCAGTGGTTCAAAATGCTGTCTCTTGCATTTTTTTTGTTACCCATTGATATTTATCTTAAATTTATCTTTCCTTCATTCCTGGAAAAAGAAAGTTCTGGAAATGGTTTGTTGCTGCTCTGGATGTTGCCAAACTCATTTCTGGATGACCAGGTGGTTATTCTTGTTACAAGTAGCAATGAAAAGAGTGGCAGACAGTGGGACGAAAGTGATTTTGACTGCCTCCTTAATTCAGTCTCAGGTATAAGGAATGTGCAGAAGGAATTTCTGGTGCAGCTCTGCCTAATCCAATACATAATTTAATTGGTGATTTTACTCCCTGAATGTAGATTAGGAATTCCAGGATCTTCAACATGGCTGGAACATACTAACTGAGAAATACTGCATTGGTGGATTGTTCCAGAGTTGAAGTAAAACTGAGGAGTCAAATCTAGCTTCACCAGTGGTGGAGTCCTACCAATTCAGACTATTCAGCTGAACCTGTAGTAGTTTGGCAGCCTGGGTCGCTGGAACCGGCAGCAACCCAGGCCTGGCACGCTCCCAAACCGGTTCATCTTGTTTTTTGCTTCTGCACATGTGCAGAACAATTTTTATTGCACTGCGCATGTGCATGCCCACAAGCGAACTAGCAGTAGTGATTGCCGGAACCCACCCCTGAGCCTCACTTTATATTTTGAGCAATTCCTTCTTTCTCAGCCCAACCTATTCACAATGTTGTTACATTTTGGGGATAAAACCACTGGAAATATTTTTAGCTTGAGGCTATTTCACATATTGCTAAGAAGTAAAAGTGGCCTTGAACAGCAAAAGCTCAGTAGTTCATCTTAGCGCCCTGTAAGGAGAAATCATGTGCTTGAAGGCAAATATTTGATACATTCACAGTTCACATTGTTTGGTGTGCAGTTAAACCTTTTTTCAATACATCTCTAAAGAATGGAATATGCAAACAAATCCTATGACCTCTTTAATATACTCGGAGACAGATGGACAAGCATTATACATATCAAAGTTATTGCCATGTTACATCTGTAATAGATATTCATGCAAATATTGAAAGTTAAACTCAAGCATTCACAGACTTTTACTGTTTATAAATAGTGAAAAGAATTATTTCCCACTCAATTTCTCTATAATCAGAGTAATATATAGCTTATTAATGTGCAAATCACTATTTAATATGTGAAGCACTACCGTGTTTCCCCCAAAATAAGACAGGGTCTTATTTTCTTTTGACCCCCAAAATATTGTTTGGGTCTTATTATCAGAGGGGGGGCTTATTGTTTTGGGGTTGCCGGGTGGCTGCTCTCTTGCGAGAGGGCACCTGAACAGCCAGGCACAGCCTCAGGGGCAAACGGCTGTGTTGCACTGTTGCAGCAGCACAACATACCAGCCATGAGGTGATCACACTCACGAGCAGCCACCTGGCAACCCCCCTTTCCAGCCGGGCAGAGCGCCACTCATGGACCCTGCGATATCCCAAAGGCACTAAGCCGCATGGTGCTCAGCTCTCACGGCTTTACACATTCGGAATACCTTTAGGTCAGTGCATGGCGCTCTACCCGGCTCAAAAGGGAGGTTGTGCGAGCGCCTGTTCTGTCCCCAGTTGGTGTGCCTCCTAATCTCACCACGCCCTGACCCAGCTCTCCCTGCAGGGCTAGTGTGCCACCGCCATGGTGCTCTGAGCATAACCTATCCTCCAGCTTCCAAACTCCGGAGATCTGCAGTTTGGAAGTGGCCACTCTGGGAGTATGGTTGTGGGCTGGCTGAGGCAGAGCGTACTCCCAGAGTGTACAACCATAGAGCGTATTCCCAGAGTGGCAACTTCTGGAAGACTCGGCATCCTACCTCCGTGCTTTGGAAACTACAGAAAAAGCCATGCGGCAGTGGTGGCTGGCAGCAGCAGCAGAGATGGCCTGGCTTTGCAGGGATTTAGGCAAGGGCATTGTGAAGCTGGGAGGTGCATGAGCAGGTAGTGGAAAAGCCGCTCGTGCAACCCCCTCTCCAGCAATGCAGAGCCGCATTCACTGATCTAGGGGCATTCTGAAGGTGCCAAGCTGCGGGAGCTGGAGGGCGGCGAACAAGCACTCATGTGGCTTGGCGATACCCCTAGGTCGGTGAGTGGCGCTCTGCCTAGCTGGAAGGGGGGGTTGTCCAGGGGGCTTATTTTCAGGGGGGGGCTTACATTTTTGCCCACCCGAAAAATGTGGCAGGGCCTTATTATCAGGACATGTTGTATTTCGGGGAAACATAGTAGTTTCTGAATCATGGTAAATTAAAATTACAAATTTCTCTTGATCCATTTCTTCCCATTACTAGTTTTCTGTCTTACAATTGCAAGGTGGTAAATATATCAATGTATTAGAAATATATGTGTACCTGAATATTTGCATTATATGGCTATATAGAGAACTGTAACTATTTACAGCTAAAATGATATAGTACAGGTTTTTTTCTTTTTTCGTTGTAAACACTTTCTATGTGTTTTTGTTTCAGAATAAGTTTATTTAAAATTGAATATGACACAGGTGTGGAGAGAAAACAGCCCTTTTCAGGAGCTGGTGAATAACTAAGGTGGAGTCCAAGTCAAATGTTTATTTAACTTTCCAGAAAAACTCAAACTGGAGCAAGTGGGGGCTATTTCAATGATCTGTTCATGGGTCAAAGTTGAATTCCCTGTAACAAAGAGTATGCTATATTCTTTTAACTGTGATGTGCTCAAAGAGTCACTGAGGGGACAGAAAAAAGGGCAGGTCCTTTCTTAATTTCAAAATCATAAAATGTGTTTATAAGCATTAAAAATCCTCGAGAGAAAGAGAGAACTCCCAAGTGGAAATGAGTGACAAATGTAATATTTCTTCATTTGATAGGGCTAAGGTCCCTGCAGCACAGAGAGAACCAGCATTTTGCATCAGGATTAAAATCCTGTTGCAACTTGACCTCGGCAAAACAATTATTAACATTTGGAAAGAGAAGTCTGTGCTAGGGCATTTTTTTTTTAAAAAAAACTTCAGTTGCCTTGAGCATGGCTCCCTGTGTGTGTGCAACTTGAATGCCTTCAGTGGACTAGCTTTATATGTTTATCATTTGGACTACTGTACTAACAATAGTCCAGCTTGGAGAATATTTGTTAGACACTATCTAATAAAAAATTCCTTGCTGATTTATTCCAACTGTCTACATTTTCTTATATATAGGATGGAATATATGGCCCCATGAATGATAACCATTCCATCTACCTGAAGAGGAAGGCATCACCTTGCTCAGATATGCAGGAGTCCAAAATGAAATTTCTGGAGAATTTAAAATGGAAATGCCTTCTTAAAACGGGCTAATGAGAGTTGAGAACAGTTAGAAATCAAGAACATCAAGTTTGTCTATGATTAATGAGGTCATCGACCAAGGACAGCTACCAGTGAGGAGCACATGGCCTTAAATAGTGATAGCAATAGCACGTAAATGTATATACCACTCCATGAAGCTTTATAGCATTCTCTAATCAGTTTACAGAGTCAACATATTGTCTCCAGAAATCTGGGTCCTCATTTTACTGACCTTGGAAGGGTGAAAAGCTGAGTCAACCTTGAACCGGTCAAGACTGAACTCCTGGCTATGGGCAGAATTAGCCTGCAATACTGCATTCTAACCACTGCACCACCAGGCACAATGGTTACGGTAAATAAATGAACAAATAAATAAATAAATAAATTTAAGAGCCTCATAGCACTTAAGCAGGACTGATATTTTCAATTCCATTTGGGAGAAAAAGGGGGGAGGAATTTTAAAGGTAGACTCTTGTAAAGATATAGAAATCCTTTAAAAAAACCAACCTCCAACATTGAGGTGATTCTTACATTTTCCCAAGTTTAAAAAGGAAAAACCAGTGCCTTAAGCATCAGACATAAAAAAATTCCCCTTAACGCTAAACAAAACATGGGAAAAGTAGATCCAAAAATGTTGGCTCTGTTGCCCCTTGGGACATTTGGGGCTGTTGTCAGAAAGGGCACAAAAATAAAGTGTGGTTCCATGCCTGTTATCCAGGAATTTCAGGGTTTTGCAAGGTCCTATCTGATCACAAACAGGGTTTTGCAAGGTCCTATCTGATCACAAACAGTGCACCTGTGCTGTATTTGTCATATTTATATCCCGGTTTTTGTAAACTGTGCTTACTTGTAGCCCTTCTCTGACAGCCTCAAGAAGATAGGGAACAATGGAGTAGTTCCATAGGTCAGTAAACCAAACCCTTGACCCGTCCACATCTAGAGGGCAAGAGAGAAACAGGCGTGGACCTGTGAAAATCAAGAGAAACGTAAAATGGATTATTTTCAGTAAGGAGGAACTAATGCATTTATTTTAACCATAACATTATACAATGGCAAGAGAAATTATTTTATTTTATCTTATTTCTCACCAATAGTAACATCTGAAGAACTGTGAGCTTCCAAGAACTTGTTGAGATGTTGCCAAACCTTGGGAATCCAGTCTACAATCTTAATTAATTCTGCATTTCTCATCCGGCCGCCAATTTCTGTTTCAATGAGTTTTCTTCTCAAGAATCGGGCAAGAAAGCCCTTGACTGGCTCAGTGTGATTGGCACATAGTACCCATCTAAAGTTGTGGTGCAGCTGAAGGTTAGGTGTTGAGGAAGTTGCTTGGTTCATTGTTCCAATGATGTAAGGGCTGTAGGAAAAAGATTAGCCAGCATTTATTTTTAGAAAAAGTTGTTTTTAAATTTACATTATCATCTCATATACTTTTTTGCTTCCTACCCATAACATCTGAATAGATTCTATCCCAGAGTTATTGTGATGCTCCTCCATGCTAGCTGAATTTCTGGAATGCTTTAGAATATTTTATTTACTTTTCAGGGAGAGGGTCAATTAAATATTTGAAAAACATTTTAAAAACAGTGAGAGAAAATTTAAAATATACAGATTTAAAAGAGGAGAGTTACTGAAAAGGAAAGCGGACAGAATGTGAAGCAAAAAAAATTGAGAAATGAAAAGATGAATAAAATCTAAAGCAGTCTTCCAATAGAAACCTAAACCAGCCAAGCACAGGAAATCAAGGAGTCAAGGTGGTTCAAGTGAATACAGGTTTATTACATGCTAACACACTCTACAAGAATCTGAACTACTAATGGTCAAACCAAATTGGCAGTAGATAAGAGTCAGTGGAATTCAAGGTGGGCTGGACTTAGAACTCTTGTGGGCATGAAGGGAGTTGAGACTAATGACCTGATGACTGATTGACCTCTCCACTTGGGCTCAGCCTGGTCATCTCTTACACCAGTGGTGGGATTCAAATAATTTAACAACCGGTTTTCTCTGCCCTAATGACCAGTTGTGTAGGCGTGGCTTGGTGGTCATGTGACTGGGTGGTCGTGGCCAACTCAATGTCACTCATGTTGATGGGCGCTTCGTCTTAGCTGTTAAAATGTAATAGGGTTAACTGGAAAAGCAGTTTCTGTAAGTGAGGACAATAAAGATTAGGCTAGAAACAACACCAGAATGTTTTCTTCTTGCCTTCCTTACAGGATTAGCCCTGTAAAGTGGGAAAAAACAAAATAAGATTTCTTCCAACAACTGGTTCTCCAAACGGCTTAGAAAGTTAACAACCGGTTCTCCTGAATAGATGCGAACTGGCTGAATCCCACCACTGTTCTACACTTTCTTAACCTACTGCCCTTTGGATATATACTGCTCATGGTAGAATTCAGAGTCTATCTGGAAGGTACAATACTTGACAAGGAGCAGGGGATGGACACCTTAACTACTATATCTTCCTCTTGTTGTTATGCAATACCTGTCATCAGATGTTGGCGATCATGTTAACGACCTTATTTTTATCAACAGCCACACAAAAAAGTATCTTACACTTTTTATGCATAACCACCTTACACATTTTCAAATTACTCCAGCTATTTGGTGCTATAAATGAAAAAGGGTCTGGCTTTTAAAAAAAGGAAATACAGATATTGGCAGAACTCTGCAGAATAAGGCTGTTAAAGACTAGTGTTTTCCATCTCTCCCAAAGCTTCGGTTAATATTGAATCTTTAAGAAGCTGGAAAAGTCTGTATAATGAAAGCATAGGAATATTTGTTTTAGGGATCTCCTAATTTTATACACACAGATAAAATGAAAAACCACGGATTGACCTAGATTTTTTTATATTTCTGTTTGCTGTGTGGTCATGTCTTTTATGTCTATCAGTTAGAGAATGTAGTGTTTAATTTCAGCTTTAAATCAAATCTCAGGGTATATTCATGAAAATATAATTTTTCTTTAGAATTTCTTGTGATCTGTAATAATAATCTGAAAGGGAGTTGATTTACTTTTTGTTGTTAATTTTTAAACATTAACTAACTAATAATTAACATTTCCTTAAACAAAAATTCATGAGTTTTAGCAACACATACAGAAACTATATTGCTATTAAATAATTCATGGACTAATTTGAATGAATCTTCAATCAAATCTTTGGTTGAAGGATTTATAATAGTATTTATTTGTACTGATTTAGATATTTATATAGAAATTCGGCATGCTCACTTAAGAGAAATGCTTACCTTTGAGTAGCAGTTGAACTAAAATCAAGCATATTTTACTAAGTTTTATTTAAACAAACAATATTCTGTTTGTGGGCACTGAAATCAGTTAAATGAAAGTTTGCAGAATATGCTTGTTGGTAGAGAAACAGACTTTCCACCATGAAAGGCAAAGGTAAAATGATGCTGTTACCATTTGTGGTACTTGCAGTTCAAAAGCCCATTGAAGATCTCTCCTAGAGAGCTGACGTGATGTAAATTGTCCAAGATGATTACAAGAGGCATCTCCACTGCATTATTTTCACTGCTACATTGGTCTGCGAGGTTGGATAGATATTGCCGGAGTTCCTGTAAAAAGAAAAAAATGCATTAGGGGGAAAAAAAAGCCTAGATTGCAATTATCACTTGGAGATCTTGGGAGGTGATAAATGCTGTTTGGTTCAATTCTAAAAAGTTCCTTGGAAAAATACGGTAGTAACATACCACAACTTACAGTAGTTCTTTTAAAAAAATATTTTGAATGAACTCTGTACATAATTATTCAGGCAAGTTGGTTATCTTGCCTGAGATAACCGCGTTCTTTTCTTTAATCCTCAAATAGTGACTCTCAAAGCATGTAATTACTTTTCTATATGGTGCGGGATCTACCTTGATCTCATAATCTGAATAAGAGGTAGTATATAAAACAGGAGTAGAGCAGGACCTATGAAAAGCAGTAATTATGAAAATTGGCATTAGAAGCCCAGATAAGGAAGACAGAAAAAGAAGTAGCATTGATGGGCTTGGAATTCCTAAAGGATTAAGACACCAATCAAGACACTGCACTTCCAGGAATGCCATTGTATAGGTGGATTTTGTAGAGTATTAGTATAAATTATCATTACAGGAGACAGAAGAGGAAATATAAAAAGGCATTAATTAGTAACCAAATACCTCTTCTCATTACATTCCTCTTCTCGGTCTCTAAGGCATACCGGAAATCATATCAATCTACTATTCAAGCAAAGTGCCTAATATATCTGGTAAGGCAGGGATGTCAAATTCAAGGTCTAGGGGCTGGATCCGACCTGCGGGGTGCTTAGATCTGGCCAACAGGGCTGCCCTGGAAATAGTGAAGGAACGGCCCACAGTGCCTCTGCCAGTGTAAACGAAGCTTGGGAGGGCCTCCCGAACTCTATTTTCACTGGCAGAGGGTTGCAGGAGGCCGTCATAGCCGAAAACAGAGCTTGGGAGCTTGTTTCCGCTGGCAGAGGGCTTGGCCACCACAGTGCCCCCCCCAAAAAAGTGATGTTGTGCTGGCCAAGCCTACCCTGGCCCCCTGAGGTCAAACACAATCCTGATGCAACCCTCAATGAAATAAAGTTTGACACCCCAGTGGTAAGTTATTGGTAAGGTATAAGAACGCATTTCCTATGAAATGTTTTGCTCTGGAAGATAAATTAATTGTGATTATTTGTGAACAGAAATAAAATCCATGAATGAAAGCAAATTTAGATGTCCCAGGATAATGTTTCTGGATCCAATCTGGGTCAGTCACCAAGACCAGAGGTTTAGTCTTCCACGTTTTCATGCTCATGTTTCACCAAGTCCAAAAGCTTGGAAGAGTATAACTCTGGTCCTTATGTTCAACAGAGATTGGATCCAGAAAAATATTTTCACCAATTCAGTATCCGTAATACTCACCTTACTGGACTTGTGATCGACATTAAAGGTTGCAATAGCACCATCAGTCAATTCCCTGCCTTCTCTAAGCACCATATATTCAGACAGACGATTGGCTAAGTATGTTTTTCCAGTGCCGCTTGGACCAGATAAAATGATTCTCCGATGTTCTATCAGGAGTGACACGTAACGTTGTAGAATTGGCTTTGGGATTAGAGACTCAAACACCAGACCATCCAAACTATTCTCTACAATACCTGTAATAATAGAAAAAACACAATTTAAACCTTTTCCTTGCTTTTATTATGTCACTTGCACAGGAGAGAAGTGGTACTATTTCATATGTAATATCTTTGAACTTCCCTGTCCTCAAGCTCTTTAATTTTCAGTTTTTATTAACTTTGATTAATAAGAAAAATACTCATAATAATTCTCAAAGAACGTTCCTTTTTACAGAAAAATGACTTCTGCATAGAATGCAATAGAAAGAGGAAGATTATGCAGTACAACGGGGTCCAGTGGAACAGATCCCAATCAGTGTAAGCATTTTGCAATAAAGAACTTCAAAAATCTATCACCTTGTAAGCTAGTGAATTAAAAACATGCTATACATGGTTTTTCAAAAGGAAAACAAAATATAAAATTTCAAGGTCTGACTAATTAAATCAGTGGTACATTTCTATTGTCAAAGTCAAGCTTCCCACAGTATTTCCATCTGACCCCTCACAAGACCTTCACCTGACATGACCCACACCTGACCCCGCACAAGATCCAGCACTAGACCCATCACCAGATCCATACCTGATGTGATCCTCCCATCACAAGACTTTCTGACCACTTGAAGCCCTTAAAAGCAGAAGAACACCAACAGTGACATTCCCTATATTCCACTGAAGATGTTACCTAGCCTGGTATCAACTCCAAGCTCAAACAAACCTCCACTCTCATCCTACACCCAAGCTACAAATATTCACCACAATATATAAATGTTTTAATAGCATACAAAAATGACTGAAACATTAGTTTAAGCCTTTCTTATTAAAAAACTATATTAGCAAAAACTCAATATTACCTGTTGCTCAAAAAGTATAAACTTTTAGATACCACATCAGAATTTATTACAGAGCAACAAATCAAGAAAAACTGAGTAGTAATAATCTTTGGAAGAGATGCGTTGGCTCAGTGACTAAGACACTTAGTTTGTCGATCAGAAATGTCGGTAGTTCAAATCCCTAGTTCCGCATAATGGAGTGAGTTCCCGTTACTTGTCCCAGCTTCTGCCAACCTAGCAGTTGGAAAGCATGTAAAAATGAAGTAGAAAAATAGAACCACTGTTGATGGGAAGGTAACAGCGTTCCGTGTGCCTTTGGCATTTAGTCATGCAGGTCACATGACCACGGAGCTAGACAGCTAGCTCTTCAGCTTTGAAACGGAGATGAGTACCACCCCCTAGAGTCGGGAATGACTAGTACATATGTTCGAGGGGAACCTTTACCTTTTACCTTTACCTAATAATCTTTGGAGGAGGCACTGCAAATAATAACCTTGGTGACCAATATTAGGTCTTTAAGATTCAGTTGAAGGCAATAAACCCAAATTCCCTCATTTGCCAATGTTCATGAACTGTTACATTTGGAAGAACTGATTTTCAAGCAATCCAAACATTACAGCAATTAGAACAATTAATCCATGGAACAAATTGCCTTCAGAGGTTGTGGGTGCTCTAACGCTAGAAGTTTTAAAGAAGAGATTGGGCAACCATTTCTCTGAGATGCTTCAGGGTTTCCTGCTTGAGTAGGATGTTGGACTAGAAGACCTTCCAACTCTGTTATTCTGTTACTATACAAATGCAAAACTGTATTACAAAGCTATCTGTAGCACTTTCCAATTTGGAGTCGGGAAGGGATGTACAAAGAAAAAAAATCTTCCTTTCGTAGATTGACCTTCATAGCTTTGTCATATATTCACTCTCTGCCCTAATCTGCATATATATAATATAATCCCAGTTCTTGGTCTTAAACTTTTGAGAATTTTAGCAAATGCCATTAAGTTATCTTTGTTGGGTTGCAAATGTGGGTCCCAAGCTCTATTGTATTTGTTTACTTCTCTTGAAATAAAAGAATATTTCAATGATAAACAAATTATACAGCTTAACAAAACACTACATATAAAGGACAGCTTGTTTCTTTTTAATAAGTGGAAATGTTTTGTGAAATATCCACTTTATTTACACAGGTGCTGGTTCTTTTATTTGTGGCTTAATAACCACAGATAAAAAAAACCGTGGATAATGAGACCTTGAGAAAAACTCATGCATAAAGTACCTACGAACATTGCAGAAAGGCTTCTTCCAAACGAATCCTTCGTTCACAGCTTGCAATTATGATGATTGCAGCCTCTCAATCCTATGATTGCCATTTGCAACCTTCCCTGCTGGTTTTCCACAAACAAGTCAATGGGGAATCTGGCATGGAAGGTTGCAAGTTGCTTTGATAAATTCCACCCCAGACTGGAACTGATGCTCTGCCTCCTTCCAATCCATGAGCTCCCTGCAGTTGTGCCACACTACAGCATCGCCAACTTCAATTTGTGTGTTGTCGGTGCATCCTTCTCAGCCCCATGTCCACTCTCCTGCGGTAATCTCACACTACTTACATGGGACCCCCCTACCACTTCCCACTTAAAAATCCATGATCTTAGGGTTACAACGGCAATAGGAGTTGCCTAGATTGCTGTTGCTAATTGATGTGATCACATGATCTCATGCTTTATATGACATTGCTCAACAATGACAATTCCACACCCAATTGCCAATGTAATCTGAATACTCTCTGTACATGAAACTAGGCTGTGAATAACAAGGTCTAATCTTTATTTGCCAGTCATGTATATACAAAAACTGGGCAATGGGACTATGACTAATGAGGCCCATCTGTAGAACTACACAAATAGGCACATGAAAAGTTCATAGGAATGTGGTTGCATGCGACATTTCTTACAAATAGTGGTATGCAACTGAAGAGAAAACAACATTTAGTCAAGAAACAAAGACAGAAAGAAAGTTAATTAAATCCTCTTATGCTCCTGAGACTTCTTCAAAGCTGAAATCTGTAAAGCCTACAATTACAAAGAGTTGTAATAAATAAATCAGGTATAATTTACCTTTGATTTTCACAGAGATGGTGTTGTTTTCACCAACCAGATAGCCACAGGGTAGCAGCTCAGGTGTTTCTGTGCTATTTGTGCGAACAATTTCCCCAATGCTGTACCCCAGGACACTGTCCGAATTTAGCCCAAGTTGACTCACAGGATCAACATGAATGATGTATTCCTGGGAAGAAAGAGCAAAAAAGAATCCTAGGCTTTAAGAACAAAACTTCACAATCAAGTGCAATTCTCATGATAAAGAAATCCTTTTTAGCAAATATTTAGGAAATGATTGTATGCCATCAAGTCATTTTTGACCCCAACATCCATATAGATAGGGATGTAATATGTTTTTTCATATCCCCCAATGGTGAACTCATCACCACTGTAACTGAATCCATCCACCTTGCTCCTGCTAATCTCTCTTTCCTTCCATCTTTCCACAGCCTTTTCCAGAGATCTAGGTATTCTCATAATGTGTCTAATTTGAGCCTGGTCATTTATGCCTCAAGTGAGAATTCTGGACTGATCTTTTCAATGATCCATCCCCGTTTGTCTCCTTGACTATCTATGATATTATCAGGAATCTTTTCCAATACCTATGTTTAAAAGCATCAATCTTTTTTCTATCTTGCTTCTTTGAAGTTCAACTTTCATTTCCACATGGTATACCATGGCCTGCATAATTGTGTTCTTTGTAAATATAAACACAACATGGCATTTCAACATCTTTTCCAAGGTCTTCATTACTGTTCTAAAGTTCTACATTACTGTTCTACTGTTCTAAAATTTGTGGTGTATTTCTTGACTGCTTGTTTCTTTACTGTTGATAGTTGATCCTAAAAGGTAGAAGCTATTGTCATCATGACAAATATTTCCCTGTCACTAGGACTATGAAAAATCTTTTGAGTGTAAAATATTCCATGTTTAGAATGGCTTCTTTAATTGTTTTGAATCCTGAGAATGGTAATCTCTGGATATTCGCCTGATTTAATGGTCTATTTGTCCAGGTAGGTAGAGAAGCAAAGGTTGATGCTTTCCATGAGTAATTTTCTATTCGGCCATATTGTCAAATGCAATTGTGCATAGTGAACATTGATTAAAATGTGGTTGTTATACTTTTAAGCTCTCAGGTTGCCATAAACAAAAACAATGTTGTTTTATTTGCTGAATTTGGGAGCAAGATTACAGAATGCAGGTACATATGTGCATTAGGAAGAAATTTCAAATCTACAACTAAAAAGTATATTTTTATGGAGAATATATTATTCATGGGATGGGTTTAATTAATCTATCACTCCTGGGGTTTTTGATTGACTTAAGTTCTAGGGCTATATGGCACAAGCATTATAGGAAAAATTGACATTATGGACAATCAATCAAAGATAGCATTAAGAATGATTAGTGATTGCCTCAATTTCTTCAAAAACTTATTCCAAGAAGCCTAATTAGGTATTGTTACCAAAAGTGGTGATATGTGCCAATTTGTTTATAGCTTTATCAACATAATCTAGACCACAGGTGTCAAACTCATGATGTCACATTGTCATCACCTGACCTATAGCGACTTTTTCCTCCTTCGCTAGGGGATGCTAGCACGTGATACATCTGGCCCGTAGGCCGTGAATTTGACATCCCCAATCTAGATCAACTGCAATAATTTTAGTTTAATTGTACCAAATTGTAGTGCTATCTATGCTTAGATAAAAGTAGAACCCAAGGTCTGCAGGCTAGATTGGATTGTCAATCCAACTCAAACTCCAAATGTGGAAGAAGGCAATGGCAAATTCTGGAAGAATGAAGCACATTCTTCTAGAACCATTTCTGTCAGAGTTTAGACCTGATTTTGGTCCTGAAATTGTGTTGGTTGTTCTGCGCGATGATCTTTGCTGACAGGTAAACTTGGTTTTCAATATCAAATCATCTCAGGTATAGTAAACTAGTTCTTAGGTAAACTCTGAGATAAGCCGTGGTTCTCAAAATCTTGTACAATTAATCATAAATGCAAAGAACGAAGAACCCAAAAGTTTTCTTTTAGGTCTCAATCAAATAAATTATATATGGAAAACCCTGACATAGCTTTCAAAATATGGCATTGTTAGAAAAAATGTCAAAAATAACATTATTTACCTTAAATAGTCTTCTAACAACGCCATCAAGAACATCCCATTTGGTTTTTCCACTGACTCCTATGCAGCCAATAAGGAATAAACGAGGCCTAGAATCCTAAATAAAATTTAAGTGTGTTAAAATAAAGGTGTTCAAGACTCAGCCCCACTCAGTCGCCCCGATTTCAACCCGATAAAAGGGATTAAAGGATCGTAAAAAGAAAAGTGTTCAAATAAATAATTCATAATATTTTACTATGATCCAGCAGAATTGCTCAACAGTCTTTAACCAAATCTTATTCCAAAATATACTGCTAAGGATGTAAGACCTTTATATCAGAATGGAGAAGAGCATTTTTATTGGCAAACAATATTGCATGATTTCTTCTGTAATTTTACATATCTTTGTATCTCTCTTGTTCAGTAATGCACAAGATACTGTCCAAGCATTCTTCTCTATATTCTTTATATCTATATCTTTCTATCTATTCTCTAGATATACTTTATGTCTAAAACCAGGAAACTGGTATACATCAAAATTAATATTTTATTTTATCTAATATCAGACTAGGATAAAATAATTTTTTTTCTTACACTGAAAATCTGTCCAAAATAATTTTGCCTAAAACAAGTTCTACTGACAGAAAAGTCTTTTGTCCTTTGCTCTACATCTGATATATAAGTGTAGAATCAACCCCCCCCTCAAATTCTTTAAATTACTTTAAAGCTAGAAAAGAGAAAAGCCAGAGGACGTTTTTCAAAATGTACAAGACAGAGCTTGAAAATCTTTCCCCTCAAAGGTAGGTATGCTTGGTTTCAATTTCCCTATTTGTTAATTCTAAATTCCTAAAGGACTAGGAGGTCTGGCCTTCAGAACAGTTACCACAACCATGGCTGCTGGCATTAAGTCTAGACTAATAGTCCAAGCAGAATCGTACATCAGGAGCAGCAAGGAAATAAGGAACAAGGGGAAAACATATGCTAGGGGAATCCAGGTTAGAACTTGTCTTTTCAGCACTGAAGCGCTTCTGGAGTTACTACATGACTTTCCTTGCACAGATTCTGAAAACTAAGCTTATTTTAACAACACTCAGTATTCTCGATTTCAATTTATGAAGGTCACGTAGCATGAAAAAGATGACAGTGCACTCAAGAGGTACTTGAGCAATGTGCTGACATATTCCCTGTTTAACACCCTTCTCTAGTTATGTTTTGAGCAAGATGGTAAATCTTGTTCAAAGGCAAAACCCATTTCAATCTGGTGTCAGATCTAGTTCTTGTTGATTTAGGGTCCCCTGGATGAAAAACAGTCTCTAAAGAGAAAACAATAACCTTATGTTGATCCTCGACTTACGACTACAATGGAGCCCAAAATTTCCACTGCTAAATGAGATGGTTGTTAACTGAATTTTGCCCCGTGTTATGACCTCTCTTGTCACAATTGTTAAATGAATCACTGCAGCTGTTAATAACTGCAGTTGTTAAGTGAACCTGGCTTCCTCATTGACTTTGCTTATCAGACGGTCGCAACTGTCATAAATATGAGTCAGTTGCCCAGTGTCTGAATTTTGATCACATGATCATGGGGATGCTGCAATGGTCATGAGGGTGAAAAATGGTCATAAGTCACTCTTTTCATTGTAACTTTGAATGGTCACTAAATGAAATGTTGTAAGTTGAGGACCATCTGTATTTCTTAATAACATATTATCATGGCCAGAAATATTTTGACTCACTTCTTTCCATTTCTCTTCCTCCTGAAAGTTGACAACTATTTTAACATGCCTGCCACCTTCTTTCCGAGAAGAACCATCACTGGGGTCATCAAGCATCATATCTGTTAGCGGGAAAACACAGATTCTATCTTCAAATATTGGAAGTTTATGTTTGATTTGGTTTTTGAGATTCTGACATGCATCTCATTCTAGTGATGATTGCTAGTATGAGGGCTAGAAACATGTTTATAAAAGAAAGCTGAGGTTCGCATACTGTTTTAAAATGTCAGCTTTTGTATTTTCAAAATTATGAAGCACACTTTGAACAAATGAAAATCCCCTACCAACTGGGAATAGTTATATAAGAAACAAAGATCACATAAATATTAACACAAAGTTTTCTTTAAAAAAAAAACTGTAACTCTACTAATGTTTGCAATCAGATCATTGAATGTGATTTATTTTTACCTGAGATCACAATTAGAATGCCATGTTTATATTACACTTCAGCTTATAGAAGAACTAGGAGAAAGATTTACTATCCTTGTTCTTCTACTTTAACATCTTATCTATTAATTGAATTCATAGCTGCAGGAGGAAACCTGCCCAATATATGTGCCTATATACTCACCAAGGCTTGCTGACTCTGTGAGGTTAAGACTGTGTTGTGAGAGACCCATCGACTGCCTTGGAGATGAGGAAGGGAAAACTTGAGATTGGACCCTGCTACAGGTGCCTTGGTTTTCAGATTTCAATTGGTCATTTTCAGCTTTCAATTTCTCAATCTCACTCTGGATTTAAAAACAAAACAAAACAGTGAGGGGGGTAGAAACACAAATATTTTTTTGTTATATTGGAATGTGATCAATATATCATAGAAACGTAAAATATAAGATTTGGAAGGATCCATAGAGATCAGGGTGTCTAAACTCTTGGGAAGTACGAACATATGCTCCAGCGTAGTCCCTAAAGATAGCCAGCCAGCATTTGTATGAACATATCTGCCAGTTACTAACTCCATCTCAAGTGATGGACACAATACATACATATACCTACACAATACCAGAGGTGGGTTCCTACCAGTTCAGACGAGTAAGTAGTAACTCGGCCTGCCACGCCCCCGAACTGGTTCTATTGTCGGCGGCCCCATCTTTCATTTCAGGTCTGCGCATGCGCAGAATAATCTTCATTACAAAAATGTAATTCCCCCCCTTTTTTGACGTTGTATACATGTGCAGACCTTTTTAGGTGCAAATGTGCACATGCGTGGAGCATGTGTTTGGTGTGCGCGTGAGCAAAGCACATGGAAAATTTTTAGGCGCCAAACCGGCAGTAATGCCGGTAGCAACCCACCCCTGAACAATACGTAGATTCTAGTGAGATCCTGTTTCCTTCTTTTGTATTTTCATTGACCCTGTTTAAATGAACTTTTTATTTCTCATCAAAAGACAAGGTCTATCTTGTCATCGCTAGAGCAAGATTTCGTGTGGAGTCAAAATGGTACACTATATACACACTGGAGCTCTCCAAAGTTTAAAGAAAAAACATTTGCAGCTTTTCTTTCCTCGGTTGACCTGTGTGTTTTTGACAATCCTGTAGCAAAAGTGTTCTCAATTAATGATATGCAGGTGGTTAATTTTAGTGGTCTTTGTAAGAAGCAGACTTGAATAGAGTTTATTGACAACACTGAAATTATGATTCCTCCCAGAAGGTTATTTTGTTGCATTTCTATAAAATTTAAACAAATTAAAAAGCATAGTATCTAAAAAAAGATACAATCTTATAAAGGGAAAATTGCTCATAAAAGATGAAATATTATTGGAATTATGATGGGTGTGGCTTATTTCTATAGGGCGTACAATGTTTTAATATAATTTTCCATTTTTCTCCATTGAAATTATACTTTCAGATATTATCAAAATGTCTATTTGGGATGCAAATTTAATTGTGAACTATACAAAATAAAAACAATAAAGATACAAGGCAAACTTATGAAACAAAAATTCAAGAAACAAAACAAAGTATAAGAGTGCAAAACTAGATAAAGGAGGTGGCGTACTATGAATCTGTCCCACAGTGTCTTCAGTCCTCACACATTCAGTTGTGAAAACATAAGTACAACTTTCTTGAGTAATTCACATCCTGCCTTATCAGGTTCCCAGAACAGCTGCACAAGCAAACAAGCTAATCTGACTACAGCTTTCCTCTTCAGACCTTCAAGTGAAACATGTGGGAGTTGGGGAGAGAAAGGATAAGCTTCATGCCTATTCCATCTTCTATCTACCTTCAATCTCTTTTATGTTCTAGTAAACATCTGCAGAGTACTAGAGAAACACACAGATGTAGGAAATGTGTTTTCTCATAGTACAATTTTATCAAAGCTTTGCAGCTACAAAGAACCAAGCAAACACTGTTGTTTCTTATGAACTTCTGGATGACAATTTGTGGCAACTGTAGTTTAAGGCCCTTACGTTGGCATTTGGTGCACACAAAACTTCCTGGTTTCAATCCAATTATCTTTGGTCAATGGAAAGTGTAATGGAATACCACCAATGTCCTAGCACAATGGATCTGCTTTCAGGCTTCCTGGGTGGACTACACATTTCCTACCTGCATCCTGTTCATAGCTTCTCGGAGCTGATCCAGTTGATGAGCAGAGCTGAGGGCCTCTAAACGGATATCAGTCAACTTCATCTCCTTGTCTCTCAGCTCATTCCGCAGCTGCATAACTGTTTCAGCTTCACTGTCAATGCATTCTGAAATTCTGGGAATTTATTTAAAAAAATAAATATCAAGCTAGGATTAGATTAGTTTGGAAGAATATAATATAATAGAGTGAAATAGAATAGAATAGAATTTCTTTATTGGCCAAGTGTAATTGCACACACAAGGAATTTGTGTCCAGTGCATAAGCTCTCAGTGTACATACAATAGGTGATAAACCATGATCATAATCTTCATAAAATACATTCATCATAATCATAAGATACAGCACTCAGTGATAGTCATAGGACTAAATAAGCAATCAACGTAATTCATATTAGAATACTAAATAAAATAATTAATATAAATTGTAAGATTCAAGCAACGAAGTTCTAAGAAGACAAGGAATGGGCAATAGAAAAGATGAGAAGGATAATAGTATGAACTACTATGTAGTTTGACAGTATTGTGGGAATTAGTGGTTCAGCAGATTAATAGCGTTGGGTGGGTGGGTGGGCTGTCCTTGTGTCTAGTTGTTTTGCCATGAAAAGTCCTATAGCATCATCTTGAGGGAAGCAGTTGAAACAGTTTATGTCCAGGATGTGAAGGGTTGTATTAGGACGTATGAACAATGCATAGTAAAATTAAATTTTGATTTCCTAGGTTTGAACAAAGATTTTTTTTCACTTTATCTTAATGTTAAGATTTGTTGGACATAATTATTTGAAACTGATATCAGAGCAAGAAATAAATTTGCACTTATGACTACTTTTTAGGGCTGAACGGTGCTTTGGAGACAGCTGGAAAAAATGTTTTAATACATTCTTAGAGTGTGAAACACAGCCCATATACAACTCATTTTCAAGACTACACAGCTACATCAAATCTTTCCTTCAGAATCAGAAGAAAAGCTGTGGCTGTTTCAATGAGTCTCAAACAGGGGCTGCACTATTTGTTCTGATCCACTGCAGCTGTTTAGCTTCTGCAGGTAACTTGCTGTTAGATGTATGATTCTGTGGAAAATCCATTTAACTTGGAAATCCCAAGTACATTAAGAAGATAAAGAAGCAGCAGCAATCAGTTGGAGATTAATGACCTTAAAGAAAGATTTAGACTCAGCAGGTGTAGTGCACAGCTGGGCCTCCATGTATGATTCTAGACTAGAGGGCTTTGGAAACATCCTTTTTCAGACATAAATCATTCTTTTGCACTCTATACAGCCCAAGTTAAAAAATGGGCACCCTTTGTTTTCCTAGTGTCAGCTTTCCCTTTCCCTGTTTCGCCTTACAAAACTAAATTGAATTACTTCTCGAAACACAAAGGACCAGGAGCATTGTTTGTTGGCAGTTTTTCACATACACATTTTATAAATACCTCCTGTTCACTTTTTTTAAAAAAATAAATGTACAGCTGGCAAGAAACAACAAAGCACAGTTAGAATCCTGAAGGAATCCTAGTGTATTTCAAAGAATTCGGAATTGGAATGTAACCTTGAGAATGCATTAAAATTGGCCATCAAAGGAGATGTGAATTTTCAAGGGACCCAAATTCTCCTACTGGGAGAAACCAAGCTTCAGTAGAATTTGCAGCTTCCCTTTGAACATTTCTACTAGCCCTCCTCCTTCACTGATAGTGCTGCCCTTGCGCCTCACCTTCCAGATACCTTCCTTTAAACTCTGACTAAATCTGTAGCAGTGGCAACAAAACAAAAGTGGATAAAAAGGAAACTTCTTTTCCCAACTCCTTTCCTGTTATTTTGCTTCATTGAAATTCATTCTATAGGTAAAACACATTGCACCTACAGTCCTATTTCACTGTTATTTAGCACACTGCAAAGGTAAGAAGCTGGGATAAGACCACCTCCATCCTCTCCTTCCTTCAAATAGCAGTAGCAATAGCACTTAAGACACTTAGCGCTTTATAACACTCTGTGGGCGATTTACAGTGTCAGCATTTTGTCATCAACAATCTGGGTCCTCATTTTACTGAAGGATGGAAGGCCGATTTAACCTTGACCTGGTCAGGATTGAACACTTGGCTGTGGGCAGAGTGGGCCTGCAATACTGCATTCTAACCACTTCTGCCATCACAGCTCTGGGCTCTGTTCCTATCATCAGCTTTGAGAAATGTGGATAGGATTATTTATGTAAAGGTGAAGGAAAGAAAGTTGCATGTTGACACGGAAATATAAACACTCCATTATGTCATAAATGCAACTTTTTTGCATCTCTCCCCATTTAAAACTACTGCAGACCACACATAACTATTCTTAGAATGCCAAAGCCACTTTCATTATTAACACTACGTTCTGTTTATATTACAAAATCAACTGTGTAAAGTTGAGAGTCACTATTGTCTTTCGCTAAGGGCTGTGTTCCAATTAGCAAAGTCAGCACACATACACACACAATCCTGAAATTTTATTTGTTGACAATGTAAATAATATAAGGTTGTTTCCTAGTTCACTGCTTTTCGTGATTTGAAGTTAAGGTTGCTTTGTTCCTATGCCTGCATTACTGCTGGTGAGAATTTATCAGTTTATTTGTTTAGCAGCCTTTAGGTCATAAAGCTATGAACATTCTCTTCAGAGTACATTGCACAATGGATCTTGCTTCTGAGAAAAGGTGCATAGATTTCTGCTAGAATTGCCTTCTTCAAATAACTATTCTGATCTAGTAACATCTCCACCTCAGGCACTTCTGCCTGTTGGAAGCCTTTTCCTTTGATGTTAATGAAGGGAACCTTGTAAAAAATGAATCTGCTCATAGCCCAATACATACTGAATGAAGAGATCCTGTAGAAGTACTTGCTATAGACTCAGGTGGAAAACTTCTCATTAAGGAGCAAGACTATCCCTAATACCGTAACTGTAAAGTGCCCCCAAAATTTTGAATTTCCCCTTTACTCATTAAAAAGTAATGCTGCCGAATTTAGTAGAGTGACCAGAGCAATCAAGTGAAACCTGTATATAGAAAAATGGCACACACTTGATTTAAATATGATTTTATGTATCATATTCATTATTACAGGTGCTCCTCAAATTATGACAATTATTTTCTAAGGGAGAAAATTCCACTTCATAATCACTACTCAGGGCAAATTAGGAAACAGTCAAATATATTTCCATTTTATAGTTACATTCATTTTCAAATATCTCACAGGTCTATTATTGAAATATTCTAAACACGGAGGTATCATTTCTAAAGTTTTTTAAAAATGTGTTTTTAATTTTAAAAGAAATTCAGGTTTAGTGCTTCAAATGCCTGTAATGAAAATTGCCCACGATCAAATACCAAAGATATCAATAGCTTTTTGTTCAACTGTTGTTTGCAACTACAGTACAAAAAGCGATTTAAGGGATTTTATCAGCTGGGAAGAAGTTAAAAAACGACTGAATTCACTTTAGCCTTGCAGTAGTGTAAGTGAGAGGAATGAAGCAAAGAGAAAACTACAGGCACATATTTCTCCCTGAAGTAAAAAGGAGAAATTCTTATTAAAATATTGCTGCCTTAAATGCAGCAATTTCTTCATAAACTGAATGAATTTTAAAACTGAGGCAAATGGGGAAAAAAGAATGAGGAAGCAAATACTGCAAGAGATACGAGGTCTGGAGATAAACTGATGTGAAAAATCTACCTGAATCTTATAGAAGAATCTCCAGAAAAATGAGAATTAAATTTGGTATAGTGTAATATTATAATATTAAAATGAAATCTACGGGGGTTTTTTGCCGGCAGATTCAACTTACAGGGAATTGGAATGTGAAGTTCTGAGTAATGGAGTAGATACCACTGTACCATTGTGTGGTAATTTTGGCGAAGAAGGCAATGAGTAATCTGTCATCTCCTCAATGTCAGAATGAGAAGATGCCGATTTGGGGGACTTCTTTTTCCCAAAAGCTTGCTTGAAAGAACTGCGTAACTGAAAAGAGAAGAGCAAAATAAACACATAATGAATTTGGGGGAAAATGCTTTATGACAATAAAGAATAAAAGAGAGAAGAGCTAACATGCGACACTTAAAATAAAAGGTTACCAAGTCATTCCATTTGGTAGCAGTGCAAACTTAATGACTGAAGTAATTCCTTCCTAATGACTTTATACCTTGTTAAGGAAGTGGAGGATCTGAGTTGCTTTGCTGATGAGTGCTGGTAATAACAAGTGCTGCTTGGAAGCATTCTCCCACCCCCACCCCCCTGCTTTTTTTTCTAAACAGGACCTTAGTCCAACCTCTTTTCATCCCAAGGACTGTTTTATTAAGATGTTACGAGAGGCTTCAGTTATGAGGTGAGGTGACATGGCTCAGACAGACACTGATGCAGATAGGGTTAATGGATGAGTTAGCTTATTTAAGATATGTCTTCCTTACCTCATTGACCTGCCGCAGGAAGTGAAAGCAGAAAGGGAAGGGAAAGGAAAAAAAGACATGTTTTAACAGATAAAGCCAAAGACATGGAAAGCATTGGATTGCTCAGACAAATATTACCCCTCTGCTCCCCAAAGCAGGCACACATAATTACGCTACTGTAGTCATTTTTTTCCCCCTTGCCTTTTTTGGTACGATCAGGATGTTTCGCACACCAAATAGTTGACATACAGGTTATTGTCTAAATGTATACAGTTATGTGAACTTCACTAAATCCAGCACAGGATAATACATATGATTTTTTAAACCTAAAAGTTCTCTTATTTTTCCCCAAAAAGTGATTGACTATGGTCTTGGGAGGAATTATATAAATGATTGGAGATCCTGATAAGGTTATAACATAATATGTTCAAAGTTGTAACCATGTTGTCTCCTTCACTCGCCATTAGTTTAATACACTGATCTATAATATGTCTAGAAGAACAAACGTGATCTCCTCCAAATGTGATATGGTGCAGGAAAAATAGATCTTACTATTATGCTTAGCAAAATCAGGCCTACATATGTATCCTTCTCATTTCTCCTCCTCAACCATTGTGGAAATTATTCTCCCCTCTAGGATATACACATTTATTTGATGCCCTTCAATTTAAGGAAAAGAAATAATTCAAGACTTTTTGGTAAAAACAACTTCAGACAATCCTAAACTCTCCAGATCAAGGGCCAAAGGAGATTACCATATGATTAGGTGGTAAAATGTCTTCAAATTACCAAAAGCACACTTGTAATATAACTGTTTTAAAGGCCAAAACATGTTAAAAAATTAGTGAGCTAAATAGTTTCTGCAGAATCAATGTTAGTTCCCAATTATTTTCAAGTTCATTTGGGACAGTATATGGTTCATTTGGACACAACTCAGAATCCGACCACTTAGGTAGACTATAGCAGCGATGGCAAACCTTGTTTGGCTAGCGTGCCATAAGCAGGGGGAGTGCAGGATGTGTGTGCACGGGTGTGCTGCACCCATAATGCAATGCGTGACACCCCCCTCCCCGGTTTGCTTGTAGGGCCGCTTTAAGCCCTCTGGAGCCTTCAGGGGGCTTCCGGAGGCTTCCCTGAAGGCTCCGGAGGACAAAAAAGATCCTATGACTAAACTGGAAGTCACTTCCGGTTTGCTCGTAGGGCCGTTTTTAGTCCTCCGGAGCCTTCAGGGAGAACCTTCAGGAGGCCCCTGAAGGCTCCGGAGGGCTTAAACCGGTCCTATGAGCAAACGGAAGTCTGTTCCTGAACTTCCGGTTTGCCCGTAGGGCCGGGTTTTTTGCACTCTGGAGGCTTCATGGAAGCCTCCTAAAAGCCTCTGGAGCCTGGGAAGGGCGAAAAATGGCTTTAAAAATAAGGCTGAACTCACGTGCCCTGACAAATGGCTCTGAGTACCAACTGTGGTATGCGTGCCATAGGTTCGCCATTCCGGGACTATAGGAAGTAAGAGCTTTAGTTCAAACTACAATGACTTTTAGCATAAGGGACTTTGCATAATAGAAATCATGACCAATGAAGAAACAGCATCTAAAAATATTATAAAGTAGCTTCTCTATCACAAGTTAAGTTTAACAAGAAATATTTTGGCTTCATCATTCCTACAACAATAGGTAAACAGACCCCATGGGAATAATAAATACTTGCTCAAAAGAACTTTGTTCAACACACACACAGATATTAGTTTTGTCTTATCAGCTAACACAAATGTGCGCTATATAACGCACAATGAAGCCACGAAAATAATAAGAAAATTAAAACGACCGAAATATAATAAAATCTTAAAATTTCAGAAGATTCCAGTAATTTGGGGCAAGGTCATCAATATCGCTCATGAGCTTTTGGAATTAGAACAGAGAGATTCCTGCAAGATTTAGCAATCTCTTTGTGTTCTTTTCATAGATTATTAATAGCAACTTTGTGGGTGACTATCATTATACAAAATTGCATGATGGTGTCATCACCTGAAAAGATAGTTAGATTTTGTCTAATTGCTAGACAATTGCTAGACATTTATCTCAATAATTATTATTGTATTATCCTCACACATACTGTATGTTTTAAACACAGAATGCTAATCCATATCTGCTGCCATGCTTCCATTAACCATGGTCTTGTGATTCCCACTGACCTTCTCCCTACAAGATTCCCAGACTTTCCTATTGATTTGTGGTAAGGTGTCAGGAGTGTTGTAAAGTAGGATCAAAAGACCATGGTGAGTGGTAACAGTACTGTGTCATTTCCGTAGAAGTAACAGCAAGAACTTTCCAAAATATCAGTCCGATGGGAGTAACGAGTCCCAGCATTCCATAGGTTAGCCATTTTGAAGTATTTATTTCTTTGTTTCTACTCCATCATTATTATTTTTACAAATAATTCAAGTTGGGAAACATATCCAACAAAACTTCCTCCTCCTATTTTCTACAACAACCCTGTGAGGTAAGTTGGGCTGAGAGTGACTGGCCCAAGGTCACCCAGCTGGCTTTCATGACTGAGATGGGACTAGAATTTGCATTCTCCCAGTTTCTAGCCTGGCGCTTTCAGCACCAGATCAAACAGGCTTTCTTATATCTTGGTTGAAAGTGTTTTGCCTTATGACGCACCATTTCACCCAGTTAAAAGTTACAGGTGTGAAACTTTTAGTTGTATGTATATTTCTTCCATCTTCTGTAACAGAAATATGACTTTTGGGTCTCTGTGTCTGGTTATCTCTTCTGAAATACGTTAACAAAATATGTTAAAATCTAAAAGATTTTCAATTTACATATGTCTTTATATTGCCTGCTCCTTTATCATCCTTCCAGGCACAATTTATCTGGAGCAATAATACAGGCATATGAAAGTCAGCTTTGTTTAGTGGCTAAGGCACCAGGCTAGAAAGCCAGATACTCTTAAGCTCTAGTCCAGGGGTGTCAAACTCAATTTCATTGAGGGTCGCATCAGGGCTTCATTTTTTTTTCCATTTTATTAAGATTTATAGGCCGCCCTTCTCCCTGAGGGGACTCAGGGCGGCTTACAATCACAGGGAAGGGGGTGCAATATAGAATGTGACTCAAAGAAAAAGAAGAGAAAAAACTGGGT